AGTCAGTGGACTTTTCAATGCAACAACGAAAGACAACAATTTTATTACTCGAGCAGTCGGTATTCGCAGTAGCGAAAAAATAAGTCAATGTACTTTTCAATGCAACAACGAAAGACAACAATTTTTTTACTCGAGCAGTCGGTATTCGTAGTAGCGAAAAAATAAGTCAGAGGACTTTTCAATGCAACAATGAAAAACAATTTTTCTTATCCTCGTGCAGTCGGTATTCGCAGTAGCGAAAATATAAGTCAGTGGACTTTTCAATGCAACAACGAAAGACAATAATTTTTTTACTCGAGCAGTCGGTATTCGCAGTAGCGAAAAAATAAGTCAGAGGACTTCCATGCAACAATAAAAAACTATTTTTCTTTGCTCCGCACAGTTGGTATTTGCAGTAGCGAAAAAATAAGTCAGAGGACTTTTCAATGCAACAACGAAAGACAATTTTTCTTTGCCTCGAGCAGTGGGTATTGGCAGTAATGTTCATTAAGTCTCTAGACTTTTAATAATACAAAATTATTAAAATTAATCGTTTGTAAAATATCGTTACCCGACTAAACATAAAAATAAAAATCAATATATTTCTCTGCCACGCGCATTTGCCGTAAGTGGCTAACAATAATAATACATTAATGCAAAAATGCCGTATTAAATGAATGCAGAAACATGCAGAAAGTTGATAAACTAAAGTTGAAGTCAGTCAATCGACTTCGGTACAGTTGTTCAGCTTGTAATGCAGCCACGTTATATGGATATTAATTTTATTAGAAAAGAGGTTTATACATAAACGTGTAGGTCTCAAGCCCTAAAAAATGCAGAGAGAAAGCTTAAAAAATTTACATTATAAGATATATTGTATGATTATTAAAATAAACATTACAATAAAAAGTTTAATATTTATGTATATAGATTATTTGGAACGGATGTAGGGGTGGTTATTATAGTGTGCGACAGGCGTATATTACACTGTTAATAAGTATAATCAATAATAATAAGTATAATGAATACAAACCTGCGATTATTCCGTAACGTTCCATTAATAAAAAATCAGACAAAAAACATTGAATGTCCTCAGAATTGTTTATTGCAAATAACTAAAGGTATGGTTCTTTATGAGAACGACAGAGAAAACCCACGAAGTTTAATGCATATAAATCTTATAATGAAAGAATTATATACATAAATGTTAGAAATATAACAACAAGAATTCCCATTCGAATATAGTAACTTAAAGTTATTATACGTAACAATGAAAGAAACGCAATATTAAAAAGGGAATTTATAAGTATCTGTCATGACGGTTTGTGAAACTGTCCACTAGCGAAATCATTTATATTATTTCATGGTAATTTGATCGTACAACAAAAGATAATAAAAGCCTACGTTCAGTGATCATTTAATGAGATGTAGGGTAAATTGACAAGAAGGAAACTTTTTCAGCCACCTTCTTATTGGAAATCTTATGTAATAAATCATTTGGCATTTTTTTCGTGGTAATTACAAATTAAAACGTATATATAATAGAATTCATAATTTAGCTGTCATTTAATTAACTTTAAGGATGGTTTGCGAGGACGCCGACCAGAGATATTTTCTGAGCCCTTTCCTAGGAGCAATACTTACGTAATAACCCATTGTTCAGCATTATCTGTCTTGGTGATTCGATGTTTCAACAAAAAAACGATTAAATTCTGTGTTTAGTGGTTGTTTGACGGGCTGTAGGGGTAGTTCGCGAGGGCGCCGACCGGAGATAATTTCCGAGCCCTTTCCTAGGAGCAATACTTACGTAATAACCCATTGTTCAGCATTATCTGTCCTGGTCATTCGATGTTTCAACAAAAAAACGATTAAATTCTGTTTTTAGTGGTTGTTTGACGGGCTCTAGAGGTAGTTCGCGAGGGCGCCGACCGGAGATATTTTTCGAGCTCTTTCCTTAGAGCAATAATTATGTAATAAATCATTGTTCAGCATTATATGTTTTGGTGATTCGATGTTTCAACAAAAAAACGATTAAATTCGGTCTTTAGTGGTTGTTTGACGGGCTGTAGGGGTAGTTCGCGAGGGCGCCGACCGGAGATATTTTCGGAGCCCTTTCCTAGGAGCAATACTTACGTAATAACCCATTGTTCAGCATTATCTGTCTTGGTGATTCGATGTTTCAACAAAAAAACGATTAAATTCTGTGTTTAGTGGTTGTTTGACGGGCTCTAGAGGTAGTTCGCGAGGGCGCCGACCGGAGATATTTTTCGAGCTCTTTCCTTAGAGCAATATTTATGTAATAAACCATTGTTCAGCATTATCTGTCCTGGTCATTCGATGTTTCAACAAAAAAACGATTAAATTCTGTTTTTAGTGGTTGTTTGACGGGCTCTAGAGGTAGTTCGCGAGGGCGCCGACCGGAGATATTTTTCGAGCTCTTTCCTTAGAGCAATAATTATGTAATAAACCATTGTTCAGCATTATATGTTTTGGTGATTCGATGTTTCAACAAAAAAACGATTAAATTCTGTGTTTAGTGGTTGTTTGACGGGCTGTAGGGGTAGTTCGCGAGGGCGCCGACCGGAGATATTTTCGGAGCCCTTTCCTAGGAGCAATACTTACGTAATAACCCATTGTTCAGCATTATCTGTCTTGGTGATTCGATGTTTCAACAAAAAAACGATTAAATTCTGCGTTTGGTGGTTGTTTGACGGGCTCTAGGGGTAGTTCGCGAGGGCGCCGACCGGAGATAATTTCTGAGCCCTTTCCTAGGAGCAATACTTACGTAATAACTTATTGTTCAGCATTATATGTCTTGGTGATTCGATGTTTCAACAAAAAAACGATTAAATTCTGTGTTTAGTGGTTGTTTGACAGGCTGTAAGGGTAGTTCGCGAGGGCGCCAACCGGAGATATTTTGAGAGCTCTTTTCTTAGAGCAATAATTATATAAAAAACCATTTCTCAACATTATATATCCTGGTGATTCGATGTTTCAACAAAAAAACGATTAAATTCTGTGTTTAGTGGTTGTTTGACGGGCTGTAGGGGTATTTCACGAGGGCGCCGACCGGAGATATTTTCTGAGCTCTTTCCTAGGAGCAATACTTACGTAATAACCCATTGTTCAACATTATATGTCTTGGTGGTTCGATGTTTCAACAAAAAAACGATTAAATTCTACGTTTAGTTGTTGTTTGACGGGCTGTAGGGGTAGTTCGCGAGGGCGCCGACCGGAAAAATGTTTTCGCATTCTCCTTACAATTATACTTTGACGGAAAAGCATTATGCTCCCTCTCATTTATTGGTAATAACAAGTGTCAACGTTATTTAACATTCATTACGCCAGTTACTGTAAGGGTAGTTTATAGCGGTTGTAATTAACTTTTGATGTAAAATCATTGTTCATATCAATATAGTATTGCTGAGAATCAATATGTCGTATTGAAAATTGAAACTTGAAATTTTGAAATTTTCGTTCACTGTGAACGATCCAAACTTCAGACTCATGTTGAGAAACGTTTCTGTCTTGTCTGATCTCATGGACAAACTTGTCGAGTGTCCCGCACTACAGAGTCGGAATAAGTCGAGTCGAGTGTAGCCCCTCCCGCTGGCAGACAAGTCAGCGAGGCGATGATATCCTCTTTCTTCCACAGTGGCTGTTGGCAAACACTTACTCGGTGCTTGCGACAAGTAGTCGAGTCGTTATTGGTCTTCGGGGATATCGAGATCGTCTTCATGTCGTCCATTTGGCCTGTCCAGATATCCTCAACCAGGTTTTGTTACCAACAGCCCGACCACGCAATTCTACGTGAGGCGCGGATCGTTATTATTGGCGCACTGTTTTTGGTTTCTCGCCAATATCGCCGGTGTCGCGTGCTTCTCCTCGTCGATATCCTTAGCTGCCTGCTGGAACGTTCTCGTCAGACTATCCCAGAATCCAGCTTTACTAGACATCTTGAATGCGGTACGCTTGGAGGAGAACCTCGATTAGATGGGAACGGTCAGTTTATCGGTCAATGTGAGCAACAACGCGATCGAAAGCTCTTGCGAACTATGACTCAGCCTGGCCGCTGTGAGCTGACTGTTGCACAGCGAGCAGCCACAAGTATACGGTACTCGATGCGCCTCCCTTCGCTTCGTAATACGCTAAAATAATAAAGTTCTCGCGGGCGATGTATACTTGAAAGACTGTACATGTTCTCGGATGTTTATAAAACAGATCACGCAAACGAGGATCGGATGAAGAGGCCAGTCCGCTACCTAGACTCTTCAGCTAGCTTTCAAGCGGCTGTCAGCGCGGTCGATCTGCCGAACGTATTTATCGTGGCGGCTGCACATCCGCTGCTGGTTTTGCACAATACCCACGCACATTCTCGATCCAAAGCTTAATCTCGCTCTTGATTCTCCAGTGCGTTACAAATATATGTATGCTCCGATTAACTAACACTCGCGTGTTTTAAAAATTGAACGATCGCCATCCTTTCAGTAGCCAAGTTCACTCGAAACTTGTCAGACGACTGCAGAAATTATGACGACGAGTTGGCGCGCTTGAATTACCAAAGAGTAAAAAGCCAGATAAGCGTGATAGGAAAGAGCAAGGCTAAAACTATGTTAGTCTGACGAGTTGGAGTGGTGGGCAAGCTTCAATTCGAATCGAAGTTATTTTCGGAGCGTTATGTGCTCGGCTTAATCCTCGTTCTTTCAACGCAAGCTCATCCTCGCTAACACGTGCCGAGCTATATAAATTATCGCAAATCCTGTCAGCGCGATGACAGCGTGCTCCAGCACATTTCGCATTTCGCGCTTGTGAATATGCAATAAATCCAACATTCAGCAATTTACATGTGAAACAATGCCAAGTCTAACGGACAACTTGATCCCACGTATATTTATTAGCTTGCCACTGCTTACTCCCGCGCTTTCTTAATCCAGCTCGGCTCGTACCTATTTTATTTTTTCTTGTATCCTTCTTTTATCATAGCCAATATCCATATCCTCTAATCACTTTGCATTTATTAGGTCGGAGCGGATGGACACCGATCTCGAGTTCGCGAGGCAATGGGGGTCAAATACGTCGATTGGGATTACGATCAAATGGGCATTGTGGCTACTGTTCAACTATCTGAAGTGAGTATATACCAAATTTTATTTATTGTCTTTCAAGCGCCACTTTTCGATTTGAGTATTCATCCACTTCTTCGACAATGTGCAATTTCTGCAAGACTATAACGGATTGCCACTCCGGAGTATCGATTTTTTTTGAAAATAGAATTCTTTTTTACAAGATGAATAAGTAGTCTCTGAAATATACTAGGATTTAATCGATTTCACAGGCGTGTATTTACATCACGGTAATTTGACTATATTAGATTGAGACTTTGTTCCTTTTTTTAAGAAATCCAAATTACAAGAAGTAGATAGCATAAGTAAATTCCAATTTATCTTACGTAAACCTCTGTAACTTGAAAAGAACTGGCTTCAGTAAAAAATTCAGTTTTTGCTTAAGTTTTCGCTTAGTTAAGCAACTACAGCGCAAATACTCGAAACATCGCTTATTTCACTACGTGTTTGAATGCAATGTAGAAGTAGTTCTAAACTAAAATTTCCATTAAAAATATTCAAAGATAAAATAAAAATTTACTAAAATATATTATTACTTATATAAAATAAAATTCTTGCGCAATAAAATAAGTATTTTATGGAATATAAAAAAATTGAAATACAATATAATAAAGTAATATAATATAGAAAAATGCATACACGGAGAAAATGGTCTTTTTCTCGGAAACTAATTATCGAAAAATTATCAAATTTTTTCTATCAATAGATTTCATCGTCCTTCTAAGGTTACATTTGGTTTTTTTTCCGAAATCTGGTCAGGACGGCAGCGGTACACCGTCAAAGTTGAAACTTTGTCGCGCTCTAGCTCGTAAACAATTAACTTTTGAAAAATCGGACCGGCTTCCTATAATACATTTTTTAAAGATGTATCAGCCCTGAAAGTTTAGACAAAATTTATTGAAAATTAAAGAAGATATAAGCGATTTTTTTTTTGCAATCTCGGAAACAACCCAAGATATTATTATTAATAAAAAAAATTTAGTTTTCGAACAAGCTTATCCTTATGTAAAATTATCTCAGAAATCGAATTCCGTTGAGCTTATATCGATAGGGTAATTAGGAAAAAAGATATAAGCGAATAACAAAAAAGTGCCTTTTTTTGCAATAAATCGTTAATGAAATAATGTTCCGAAAACTTTTGGAAATCAAAACTATTTTTCCCATTATCTACGTGTTATTCCGCGTCGAAATAAAAAAAAATCTCGCTGTTCGCAAAAAATATAGATCAATATACTAGAATGACCGGACTATAGATGATGATTTGCCTACAGTTTGAACTGTATGTCCACAAATAAATAGTACTGAGTGAGTTTAATTGATTTTGAAAAAGGATAATGGAAGCACCAAATGCAATGATTATTGGGATACTAGAAAATATTGCATCATCTTCAAGTAGTGATAGTGAATCTGCAGATTCTGATGATGAAAATGGTCGTGATTGTGAGATTCATTACCATTGTAATCATAAGAGAATTGACAATTAACAAATTAATAAAACAGAAATAAAGAAAACAGAATCGAATTAGCTTCTCGGCGGTACAAGTTTCAACAAGTATACAAGTTGTCATAGCAACGTAGCTAACTTTACGGCAAAAATTCTTTAAGGACTTCCATTCAGAACACATATGAAGTAACCTATTTGGATTTATACTGCAACAAAAGATTTTAATTAAACTAATTTCTTTAACAATTTCTTGTTTGAAAAATAACTGTGATAGGCTAATTTAAAAGTTTTTAGTTAATGAGGTTTTTACATTCTTTTTCATTTTGTTCTCTTTTTTTCTGTTCTCTTTTTTTAATGTTCTCTTTTTTTCATTTTTCATTTTTCATTTGACATTCTTTACCAAACGTGTATTAGATTTGAAAAATGCAAAAACGTTTTCTCATCTGCTGTGTCATTTAAAACCGCATAAATAGGCTGGAAAATTATTAACAAATTTCTGTTTACTGAGAAATTATCAACATTTTTTAAATAATTTTTAATAAAAAATATTTACATTCGCTTCACACCGTAAAGGCCAACCGACAGGTATATTAAAAAATAATTTCATGTTAATAGAACTGTATATCGAGCTAAACGTAAATCAAATACATGTACACCCAACGTGGATTGAATCGCGACCCCCCCCAGTTAGGTTGGTATAAGAATTCCGTCGTTGCATCGGAACGAAGAAACCGCGGGAAAATTCTATTGTAGATAGTAAATAAATAAATAAATAATAACTTATCTAAATGCCAGCATAACGATAAATCCTTGCTGAAGCAAAAGCAGGTAAAAGCATAAGAAACTCGGAAGAAACATTTAAAATAGACATATACACGTGTAAACAGGCTTTTTCAGATCTGCTATTCGAGCTTTGATTTTGACTGCTACTTTCAGTCGGTAACGGTGGTTTTCAGATCGGCCATAGTATAACGCTCGTTCTTAAATTATATAATTAAAACCTAAAATCAAATAATCATGCATCTAAATTCATTGTTCGGTAAACAATTAATTTTAAACCTAAAAACAAATTAGTAACGTTTTAGCTTTTTATCGTATCTTAAAACGAATTTTCATTTTTGAATTTTCCCGCGGTTTCTTCGTTCCGATGCAACGACGGAATTCTCATACCAACCTAACTGGGGGGGGTCGCGATTCAATCCACGTTGGGTGTACATAAATTAAATATACGAAACAAAATCATACACACGACTAATTTGCTGTCACTAAAAAACCAAAAAAAAACAGGAAAATTTACGTAAGCATTATAAATATTATATATGCATTTCAATCTACATTGATATAATATAAAGTAGAAGTTTAGGTAAACAGTAATATAATATTGTTACTTTTTTTTTATTATAATCCCTTTGTAAAAAAGTGATGGAAGCCATATTGAAGCATTTTATTCGTGACCTGATTGACCCAAATGAAAGAAACCGCGAGAATTCAAATTGATTTCAGTTGATTTTTTATTTCAGATTTAATTTAATTTGTTTTTAGCAAAAAAATAAAATATAAAAAATATAATTTTTTATTCATCATTTATGATCATAATGTAGTTCATTGTTTATCAGTTTTATCCCTTATAAAAAAGTGATGGATGCCACGTTGAAGTATATAGTGATCTGATGGCTGAGATATAATTGCGTGATATACTTATGTGGCGGAAAATAAGCATATAGATGTGGTTTTGAGTTGAGATTTTACTAATAAAAATTCAAATCATCATAATTTATCATACGGATCATTTTGAAGATAAGGAAGTAAAAAAGTAGACTGTAATATTGTTTATACACTAATATATGAAACTAACAACGAAGAAATCGTTTCATACAAATAATATAGGTTGAAATTGCTCTAAATATTTTTTATCAGTAATCGAAAATTTTGTTTTTGAATGTGTAAAATAAAAGTTGTAATGTTGCAATCTTTATTCAAAAAGTAGAATAAAAGTTTAATAATAAATTAACCCGTTGAGAAAAAAATAGTATAAGATTATATTTATTGCAGTTTTTGATAAAATAAATCATAAATTTGAAAACGTGTTTCATCACTAATACACATTTTCCGCTGTGATATGGGTTTTTAAAAAAAATTGAAAAATCTACCTTTGAAAAAAGTAATTTGTTAAATATGTTAATATTGATATAACAATAAGAAATAAAAAAGAAGGTAAAAACGCGTAAAGTTTATCTAAACTTATATATTTTTATTTTCCTGTATGAAAAAGTGATGCTGAGTGAAGTAATTTTATTTATGACCTGATTGACTGAATTTCGTCACGTGTGTCACAATTATGAGTAAATCGGTTATAATAATAAATCGAAGTACTTTACATCTATCAATACAAATAAGTATAATAATTTGTAGGCATTAAACTGTAAATGACTTCCACATTCTCTCACTGGCCTAACCTTAAAAAAGTACGATAAAGTAATCTTAATGCACTTCAATTGCATTTATTTATTGGACATATAAATTAATTGAATATATCTTTATTGTAAAGTTTAGCTTCGGATAAATATAATCAATATTGAGAAGAATGGTAAATAGATATTTTATATGAAATTCTGCGAATTTATTTCGGTGCAGTCGGCACCGTTAATGTATTTTAAATAAATTTTGAAATTTAATTTATAAATGTAAACAAACTCTCCAAATGGTTTCAGATAAACAATGGAAAAAAGAGTTAAATTAAAATAATATATCTGTTGATATAGAGAAATCCTATGGAAAGCTTGATACCATGAACCAATACGTTAAAAAAGAAACAAAATTAAATTGTTAGACGCAACTGATGGTTCTATCCTATCCTTATCCTATGCCTTATATTTATTTTTATTTTTTATTTTTATACTTTTTACATATTTTGTTCCTATCTTATCTTTAAAAAAAAATGAGTCACTGACATCCAGCGTTGTGATTTGTTGATGCAAAAATAGAACGCGAAATTTTGAATTTTCCTATACTTTGAAATATTATTATTATTATATATCAAAGAGTGTAAGATTTCTATTTTAGCGATATATTCAATTTATGAATAATTAACATGGATAATAAACTGCAAGAATGGAAATATGTTAGTAAATTGGTACAAGAACACAATACGTTATGTTTTGAAATTATTTGTACAAATTGTTAATTTTATAACCATTTCCGATACTACAATCAATATCGTTGTGTTAAAATTTGGTAGAAAGAAAAAGAGAATGAATAAAAATAAAATAGAGACTACATATTTATCTTTTGTATATTTTAAATTAAAACGTATGCGAACAAAGGAAATTAATTATCAAAATATTAAACCCGTTAAATTAGAAGAATATTCACGGGTGTTTTCATAGTGGCAGCAAAAAGTACACGATGTTAAATGTATTACTCATACTAATATAAGATTGGAGCCATAATCACTACTATTGAATATGTAAGTTTAGTATTGTATAATAGTGTAATAGTATAATAGCATTATTGATCTTAGGTCGAATTAATCTTTTGAATAATTTTTCCGATATATCTTGAAATGAGTAAAAGTTCATCGATTTTTGAGAAAAAATGGGTGCATGTTCTATTTTTATTCATCAATAAATATTGACGTATGTAGTTATTTTAAACAGCATGACTTATTCGTGTCCATTGAAATCTTGAAGTTGATATATAAAAGGTTCAAATAATGTAATAAATAATAGTAAAACATTAAAAAAGAAAACGCGCGAAGCGCGCTAAATAACACTAGTATTATAAAAAAAGTGATGGATGCCATATTCAAGCATTTTATTCGTGATCTAATTGGCTGAGATATAGTCACGTGATATGCTGTTATGGCAGCAAATATGCATATCAATGTGATTGACACGAATAATTTTGAAGATAATGAAAATAAAAAAATACGCTGCATTGTTATTATTTTTACACTCATTTTATAAAACTAGCAGCGAGTAAATCGTTTGATAAAAGCAAGAGGTTATTATGCTTTTGAATTATTCTGATAATCTGATATTTGAACGTGTAAGATTGAAAAAAAATTTGTAATATCGTAATCAATAGATAATATCAATAATAATTAAAAGAGTAGGATGAACGTTCAATAGTAATTTGACCTATATGGCTGAAAAGAACTATAGATTGTTTATGTCCGTTTTCGATATAATAATTCATAAATTTTGAATACGCGGAACTGTTTTACTAATACAAGTTTTCCACCATGATATATGTTTTGTAACCGTTAAATATGTTAATTGATATGATAAAAAATGAAAAAGTATATAGAAGCGCGTCCGATGTCGCTAGTGACATAAAAGTTGAAATATATAACTTAATTTTTACTAATTCGAGGCAAGTTATTATAAAAATTCACGTACTGTTTGAGCTCCTGCTAAAACAAGGACATTTAACCGGATTGAAAATCTAATTCACTTTGAGTCTATTTCTGAATCCTACAAATGATAATTGTACGTACTATAATAATATACAAATGACAATTTTACATATTATAATAATTAATTTCAGGATAGAAAAATATTAAAGGGGATTCATTAAATTCCACTTTAGTGAACTTAAAATGTTATTTGTAGGATTTAGAAATAGACTCGAAGAAGATTGAATTTTCAATCCAATTAAATGTCCTCGTTTCAGCAGGAAGTGTCTTAGTTTTAGTGCGACGATCATTGTAAGTTTTACGAGACATTTTTTTTTTCGCGTATTGTCAAAATTGTGATCAACAATTATTAATAATATTCTTTCTTTTCCAGCCTACAGAAAACATTGTTGCATGGCAAAGATTTTTACCTACTGGTCCTGTTGCACTCTTACCGGTAAGAATAAATATTAAATCATATAATACGAAGGCTTACACTTCTTTTTAGGAGATCACTTTAACCCCACCTTACTTGTTATAGTAGCCAAATGTGACAAACATTTTCCGCTGCTCTAATGAGCTGACACTGTCAGTTTTATTAATACATATTTGCAATTATAATCAACGCATAATCAACGTAAAGAAAAGCAGCTTTGATGCCTCGCTTATAATTACACAGATTTCATATGCGAACCATTCAAGATAATCATATTAAATGATTATAGTATTGAAGATCTGTATTAATAAATTATGATATTTATTCAGTTTCAATTTTTGTTTGCCTAGGCAAACCAAATGTCTTCCCGAAATTGTAGCCAATTTTCTTTATTTTTATAATGTATTGCATTTACCGTGTACGTATATGTATTCTTCAAATTAACATAATAAGCCAATAAAAAAGTTAATTGTTCTTTTAGTTGACAAATTCACTGAGTTCCTTGGTGTGGTCGATGACAACTGCTGAGGCTAAAAGATTATTGAAAGTTTCCGAGGAAGAGTTTGTAGATATTTTGAACGATGCTTTATGGAAAGTACATCCTAAAAATGGCATAGTGGAAGGAGGCATGAAAGCGCTGCAGCAATTGCTGGAAACGTTTCAATTGCAAACTGGAGTCTCAAGGCAGTTACAGCCATCTATTGCTAGTATTGTCGAAGGATCGCGAGCGGCATTTCCATTAGGTTTTGGACATGCTGTACATTATGTTCAACCAGGTGTTGCTTTAGTGGGGTAAGTAGCTTATTTTGTTAATATGATTTACGTTATGAGTTTTTTAAAATATTAAAATATTTGACGGCAAAATCAATATTTTCCATTTTAGAGATGCAGCTCATAGGGTTCATCCATTAGCAGGACAGGGTGTAAATTTAGGTTTTGGGGATATATCAGCTTTAGTTCAAGTACTTGCAGAAGCAATAGGTAATGGTGCATTAATTGGAGACATAACATATTTGCACCAATATGAAAGTATAAGGCAGTGGCATAATATTCCAACAATGCTCACAATCGATGCTCTACATAGATTGTATAAAGGAACGGCACCACCGATAGTTCTTGCAAGAAGTTTAGGCTTACAAATGGCCAATGCAATTAAACCATTAAAAGTAAGTTTACGGCAAATTTTTGAACTTACATGTTTTGTCATTTTTTCAATGATAATTTCAAACGCTTCTAAATAATCATCACAAAAATTTTTTTAAACAAAAATAATTTGCTAGTTACCACTTATGGTAGTTCAATAAACTCATATTATTCCTTAAAATTAAAAAGACACTGTCATTTTGTATATTTTGCAAAAACAGCATATTGTTGCTACACAATCTAACTAACAAAAACTAATTCTCAATTTTATCAAATATAACATGTAAAAAGTTAAGAAAAAAGTCATTTGTATATCTGAAAATTATTTATATAAAAGAGAATTGTTTTTATCATATTTGAAAACTCATTAACATGATTGACAGTTCACTTTTTTGTTATTTTAGAAATTTATAATGGAACACGCAGCTGATAGAGGTCACATACAAAAATGGTAAAAGTATATTGCTGTGTTAAGATAATAACACATTAACTCAAATAGACTATTATACTCTACACCCTAAAAATTAGATGTAATAAATACTAAAATCAATACTTGTTATATAATCGACAATTTTATAAATTGTTGGAATAAAATACATTTTCAAAATTCTTGTAAATATATTTTATTAAACTTTTTTTTATTTACAATTGCACCCAATAGCTTATGTATACGATGTCTTGTTATAAATTATAGATACAAAATTTACATGAATGCAAAACAATTCCCATAACTCCCAAGTTTACATCAGCCCAATAAAAACATTAAATTTAGTATAAATTAATTCATGATTTGCACCGTTGTCGACGTTTTAATAAAAAAATAAAAAACTGTGCTAAAAATGGCCATAATACAGCTATAGACATTAACATTAAAGTATTTTTGTCAAAAAACCATCGGTTGTTTTTACTCTGTTTTTTTATAAAATTTGAGTGAAGTTGTATTGAAGAATGTATTTGTTTTTCTATACAATTCAGTCTAACAATTATTTTGTCCAAATCATTTTGAAGAGATTTGAGAGACACTAAAATGGCATGAGAAAATTCAGAATCAGTATTATTCAATGCATTATAAATAATTTGATCTCTATTTATTTTTGATTGAAGTTCTATATTTATTGGCATGCCATTCATATCTGAAACTATCTTATCACTGTTTTCAGATGTACTATAAAGATAAGGTGAATTTTCACAAGTAGATGGTTCTACAAACTGTTTCTGGAAATTAGATGTTGTAAACTCAATAGTATCAGCAAATTCTTCATCTGTTTCATTTTCTTGTGAATATAATGCAGTTCCATTTCCTGAAGTTGATACAGAATTATTGACATTGTAAAAAAGTTTATTATTCTCATTTGAACAGGTTTCAGTTATCTTTTTAGATGAATCTGATTCAAGATTTTGTTGTGAACGAATACGTTCTAAAACTGATCCACATACTAATTCTAAATCTTCTGCAGGAACAGTTTCATAAAATGAATTAAGACTACTCAGAAACGTAGCAACATTTTCTGTGTATGACATAGTTTCAACAATCTTTTTCAATTCTTCAACATAATTATTCATAGCTTCTTCTTTGCTCATATTACCTAAACTATTCCATGCTGACCACTTTGCTCTACTAACAACATCCCAAAAACCTGGTTTGGGAGATTTGCATGGACCTTCAGTTGCTTGTTTAAAATAACTATAAAACTTTAACATCAATTCATTACTTGGCTGATAACTTCCATTTTTTGGCAAATTTCTGATCACATTAACAGCAGCGTTAAATTTTTCTTCAGTAGTCATTTTTTTTATCAAATTTTGATGGGAATATATTTATGTTAATTTACCCAACCTTTTATAATTATTGCAGATTAATATTGGAATTTCCGGTAATTCTCACATTTAACACTGTTTTTAGTGTATATTTCAAACTAAATTAACGTTACAAATATGAACTAAAGCAATTATCGCGTTAAGTTCTGATAAGATATGTCAAATATGCTTCTTCATGCTTGTCGGACTTCCTTGATACTCATTTATATATACTTTCAATTCCAAGCACGATTCCGACTATTCTGAGGTTATTACAGCACAAGATACTAGATAGCAACTGCATAAATTAGCAAGTGGCAGTGGCATTGCAGCTTGCAGCGACAACATTGGCAGATAAGTCTCAACGCATGCGTACTCAATTTCTAAAAGAGCGGCGAATGTAAAATATACATTTGAATAATGAGTACGTTTATCTTTTATATGAAAATTTCGAAATCTCACTTAATGCAATTTTAAAGATATAAACGCAATGTTCGTATCTTATAGTAATTTTCATCTCTACACTTCTAAACGCTTTTTTATCCATATTTAATAAAGCATGAATAATCACATAACAGATTGTTCCTGAATGCAATGATCTTAATATAAATATCTATCCTGATTTAGAGTATTAAATTATATGTATATAACATGACATACGCAGTAGAATCTAAATTTTTTTCCTATGTTCATACCACACCATCATGTCCGAATAACGGTCAATTAATCCCATATAAGTATATACACTTAGTCAGCTGCTGTGTACGTAACACGTGACGTGAAGCAATTATATAGTTTCTCCTAACTGAATATACACATACTTTTTACATTTCGAAAAATGAGTTTCATCCATGGAGACTACATACTGTCTCATCGTTTCTCTTAAGTGAAAGTGAATTCTCAAATTCTTTCAAATTCTTGACGTAGTCTTATCCACTCAGTAAGTGAATAATTTTCGGAATAAACAGATCAATAATTATTCAAGAATATAAAATTTGTAAAATAAGAAGCTGATTGTTACTTTTCTAGATCATAGTTAAAGTTATTTGAATTTTATAGGTTAGTTATGTTTCTGCCAAATGTTGCTCTAAAAAGTATAAAATTAAGAATTTCAAATTTTCATAAAATTCTAGATAGTTTATCTTCACATCAAGTAAAAAAATTAATTTTACTTAAAAGTATCATTCTTATTTATTTAATTTGATAATATTCTAACTGTGAATACTATTTTCATAGATTATTATACGTTATTGAATACCAAAGGATATATATGAGAATTGATAGTTATAGTAACCAGGTTTGTAATTTATTTTAAAAATAATTGAAGCAATTCAGCAATTATACAATGAAATGTTTAACTTGTTTAGTTTTATGCAGCATCAAAAATGTTTGTATCAAAAAGAACTTTGAAAATTGTTTCGGCAACTGCTGTGGGATTAGGAACATTAGCTTCACTGAGAGCAAATGAATATGATTTTGGAGCAATTGGAATTGTACGGCTAAGTCGTGCTGCAAGTACTGCTTTTGTTATTGGTAGTCATTATGAAAAACATTTGTATAGAAGTGGTTTTGACAGAAATTCTGAAGAATATCAATTGAGAAAATCAGAGGCACATGCCTTTGGAGCACAGAAATTACTAGAACTTTGCAGTGCAAATAAAGGTGTATATATCAAAGTTGGTCAACATATTGGAGCATTAGACTATTTACTTCCTAAAGAGTATGTTCAAACTTTGAAAATTTTGCATAGTTCTGCACCTCAATCTTCATTCAATGATGTTCTTACTGTACTCAAAGAAGACTTCAAGAAAAATCCTTATGAAATTTTTGAATCCATTGAACAAACTCCTCTTGGTACTGCAAGTTTAGCACAGGTACACAGAGCTACTTTAAAAAATGGTATTGAAGTAGCTGTAAAAGTTCAACACCGAGCTGTAAAAACTAATTCATATGTAGATATAAAAACTATGTCAGCTTTGGTAAAAATAACATCCTGGATCTTCCCAGATTTCAAATTTGATTGGTTAGTAGATGAAACCAAAAAAAACATTCCTCAAGAACTCAACTTTACACAAGAAGGAAAAAATGCAGAAAAAGTCAGCCAATTATTTAAAGATTACAAATGGCTACATATACCAAAAATCTATTGGAATATCTCATCTAATCGAGTACTTACCATGGAATTTATAGAAGGAGGTCAAGTTAACGACCTGAAATATTACCGTGAACATAAAATTAACCCTTATGATATTAGTAACAAAATAGGTAGTCTTTACAGTCATATGATATTTATTACTGGATTTGTTCACTCTGATCCACATCCTGGAAATATAATTGTTAGAAAGAAAAATAATGAAGTTCAAGTTGTACTTCTCGATCATGGTTTATATGCTGAATTGTCAAATGAATTTCGATGGGAATATTCAAAATTATGGCTTGCAATTTTGAACAGTGATAAAATTGCCATGCAAAGGCATTGTGATAAGTTAGGTGTTGGTGATATGTATGGTTTATTAGCATGTATGGTTGCTGGTAGAACCTGGGATACTTTAATGAGTGGTATACAAAAAACAAAATATACCAAGGGAGAGAAAGAGTTATTTCAAAAAGAAATTCCTGATCTATTACCCAAAATTACTGAAGTACTAGAAAGAGTAAATAGACACATGTTATTAGTTCTAAAAACTAATGATTTAATTCGTAGTATCGAATATAATTTGAATACCCAAGCTCGCATGTCTGCTTTTTTGCAAATGTCTACATGTTGTATAAAATCAGTTTATGGAGAAAAATTCAGAAATTGTAATTCTAAGTGGTCAAGATGCTTAATATCTTTACAGGAGCATTGGTCTCTATTTAAAGTTGTTATATATTATACGTATTTAGGAATGATTAACTTTAGTTTAAAAGATTTTATATTTTCATTTTATAAAGAAGAAATTGAGTTAGTTTGATTATAACTCAAACTAGGATGTTAAAATTATCATTGGAAAACTTGAGATTGACAAAAAGTATAAGTTTAATTCATGTGCATACGTAAAAAATCAATTATTGAATGTAATTGTATCACTTGTTATATCTTTAATTTCAAATGGAATATTACTATACAAATAATAAAGATTTATATTTTTATAGTTTCTTACCTAGAAACTTGTAAATCAAATCAACGTATATTTGATTATATATGTATATATGTATATATATATATATATATATATATATATATATATATATATATATATATATATATAACATGTTAATTTTATATAGAAATTTAAAAACTATTTTTATATAAGATTTAAAAACTGTTTTTTGTTTCAATAAAAATGATTTTATCTAAACTTCAATTGTTAGATTCAACTTTAAACAATAACATATTTTGTTGTTTATTGTTTCTAAAATATATATGTTTTTATATATAAAATTATGTTAGGTGTATATCTTATACTTTATATCCTGCAAAACTTTTTTTATTATAATAAAAAATTAGATATAAAATAATATTATAAAACATGGTTAAAATGAATGCATATAATAGATATGAATGCTTTATATAGCGGAATTTATTCATATTAAATTTAATTTATTTGTTTATTTACATTGAAATTTCGAATTTATTTTTATTTTAATATTTATGATTATAAGTAATAATATATGCATATATAAAGTACTCCTTGATAAATTGATGTTTATAGTCAATTTCTTAAATAATTAGTCGTATCAAAATTAAATTGAAAAAATACATGACTATAATTAGTTATTTTTCTTGAAATTTCCTTTGCATTGATCATAATTTCTTAACTAAATCAACAAATCTTCGCATATGTATGTGTGCATGAATCATTACCACGTGATATCTCTTTCTTTTAGCACACTCACACGCGAATGAACCAAATAGTATACACGTCACATATTAGGAACTTCTTTGTTTCACGTGTGACGTGAGTCTTCCATTTCCGCATGCAATATCTTAAAAATCATGTTTGTTTAGATTTCGTGCAAACTAATATTTTCTAATTAACTATTAAATAAAAATTAATAGAATTCTATAAAATATAAATTTGGCACAAAATTAATTAATAAAAGGTAATTATTTCACTTCTTTAGAGATGTAACATATTTCGATACTGTATATAATGTGAGAATATAATATGTAGATACATTATCTAACTAGTGCGAGAAAGTATATCACCTTCAATTCGCTCAATCGGGCGTAAACTTACACTCTTCACCCTCGCTTCGCTCGATTGAGCGCAAACATCCACATGACGCTTGATTAAATTACTTTATCGCACTAGCATCGAAATGTACTATTTCAACATTTTTTAACGGTGAAAGTATTATTTGCACTCACTCTACTAATGCTTTCTACGATGATTAATTTGCATAAAAACTTTCGTATATAAATAAAAAATATCGTATGATGACTACGTGAATATATATGCATTCAGGAAAAAAGGTAGTGTCGAAACTTGACTATCGGTTATTCAAATAAAAAATGGCTCGCTCGAATAAACACAAATAATGAAATTAGACAAAGAAATATTCGATAAAAAAAGTACAAAGTTTCTATCAAAGCCTTTAGCAATTATTCCACTTTGACAATAGCGTTTCCGGTGGCGTCTAGATTCGTCTAGAATTCGCGTCTAAAATCCTGAAAATATTTGGTCAAGTTAAATGCATGTTTCTCCCATTCAAAGTTTGTTGTTGCAGTTTTCATTTGATTAGAAGTAGTAAACGAATTCGAAATGGAAATATTTGAGACGGTCAAATATTTTCAGAACTATAAATACTATGTGCAATTTCTCCAGCGGAAATACTGATGGAAAACCTCATTCGGCCAATCAAAAGTCTTAAAAACATCTATTAAAATATTAAGATAAGAATGACAACGCTAAACGTAGAAAAGACGAGAAGCCTTTTCTTTACATCAGAACCAATCAGAATAGTTAATTAAGAGCTTGGCGTCAGGTTGGCGTCAGCTTTACTTCTCCTTATAAAATAAAAGACAAGAGTAGGGATGACACGCTACACATTACTACGCCATATCGATTTTGCCAGAACAAGCATATTTCTTGGAATACATAGTTTAATATCGAATTAATTATTTTTTTATTTTACCTAAAAACAGAACAGTATACAACACTTATTATAAAACGATTTATAGGTTTTCAATTGATATTACTGATCTTGAAGTTGGAACTATTTTTTGCGGAAAGTGCGCGTAAGAATACCAGTACGCGCTGTGAGCTGCGGTTATAAATAGGACTGTTGAGAGGTAGCTGTAAGCATTCCCGTTTTTACTTTCATACGGTGTGCACTGTGTCTCGCTCAGTGGTCGGACTCAAAAGACCCGTTTCTCGGTATGTGAAGTTGGAGATTCTACACGAAGGGAAATACGAGCAGATACAGGTTGGTTTGTGTTTATTCTTGATTATTTGTCGATAATTAAGAAGAAAAAAATCATCGCCACTCCAGGAAGTTTTGTTAGTAAGTTCTGCACTTTTGCAATTGAAATTAAAGTAATTGTTCGTATTCGGCGTGATCTTTATACGGCATATGTTAAAGTACACAAACTCTCATTATCTCGAGTAAACGTATTAGTGACGTTTAGAGTTTATCAGAAATCTGACGTAACCACAAGGACAATGGTTGCCTCACTCAAACCGAGAGAATTCAACGAAGATCATCCAGGTCACACGGAACAACTCGTTAATTGGATACATAGAGTACGAACAAAAAAAATCATGTGTCGTAGAAATCGTAAACGTGATTTAAGAGTAGAGGCTGTTTTAACATCAGTGTTAAGCAAAGCGGAACTGGAACTACGTACCAAACAAATTTCAAGAATAGTAAAATGGCAGCAAATGAAGGATCGGCTACTCGAAGATATCAAATGCAAACAGGCCGAGCATCAAAGTGGTAAAGACAAAGATGGCGGCCAGAAGCAGTCCAACAATTATGGCGGAACCGACACGAAAGAGGAGTGCAACGCATGGGAATTGTTTCCGGAACTCCAAAGTCTTGACTCGTTTATGTCACAACTTAACGAAATAAAAGTTTCACTCGAACGATGAACAACATGTTTTCGAAGTTGAGCATTGAACTAAACAAAAACGGAGCGCCATGGAACGGCTTATCTGTTTGTCGTGAGAAGATAATGACGCAGCAACTGATGAGAAGCCATAACATCAACGCCTGTCCAACGTTATTCCACCGCGTTAGGGAGAACGCGGTACATCAGATGCCATGAGGACATTGTAGTCACCTCTATGCCATCCTGTATATCTGGATATTTTTTACTTGCAGTCTCGCTGTTTGAGATGGAAATGGGAAGGGCGTCAGGCGTGGCTGACTCTGGTGGCCTTGGGCACGAGGAACCTCGGGAGCCACGACCTCGCGCTTGATGGCCTGTGTGTGCCTGTCACCGGTGTGGTTTGTAAATCGTATCAAAAACATTTTTATTTCTTTTGTATAAAAGTTGTGTCAATAGTAGGTGTTTACAAACTTTTTTTACAGTTTTATTTTATCAAATTTGGAATACATGTACGCGTTGAATTATTTTGTTGTAGAATATTTTTTTTTTTTATTAAACTCGAAGCGTGATTCTTATTGTAAGTGTATAATATTCAAACTATATTTATAAAACCAAATTACCAAACAAAATAAATTGTTAAAGAATAAATACATTATAAAAAAAATTAAAAAGGCTACTGATTTTCCACATAATATGTTCATTCTTAATCTATTAATTACCTCACTGCTTTTCAGTATGGCATTCGTCTTGCGATATCATTGCTAGAGCAGCAAAAGAAAGCAGTCTGGGTTATCAGCAGCATCGTTGGCCTATACATTCTCAAAATGATTGTGGTGAGCGGAATGTTTGTCTTGTGAAAGAATGGGAAAGTTTGTTTTTTAGACATGGCCAAACGCGGTACAGCCCGGTCCATTTTCACAATGGTTGTTGTACACATACAACTTCGCACATTCATGTATGGTGCACTAGCTTCATCAATAATGCGTCCTACCACATACAAAGAGAGCAAAAGATGAAAAATTTGGAAGCTATTGAAAGGGTGAGCGGGTCAATCTATAACAAATTCCCCGAAAAAGTATGTTTTCCCAGGTTTAGCAGAGACTAATATTCATGGAGTGTTTAAATCAACTATGGATCATAGAGCATCCTTTAATCTACAGTCCACAACTACACGCGTCATTTTAATCATTTATGAGAGCTTACAAGTACTTGGCAAAATTTCTCCAGGTACGGAGGTATTTGCATGGCATTTGAAATAGTTTATTCAGAAAACTAAACAAATACATTGAAATTACCGTGAAAAGTCATATTATCTTTAAATTAAGTAGTATTGTTGTGTGTATACATAAGTTTTGCTCTTATGGAGCTCGATTAATGTGTTTTCGCAGACCATTTTTGAACAGACACCAACATTTGCTCTTCAGGCATCAAAGGGTTAGGGTATATACAAAGGACAATTCTGAGGAAGAATAATCAATAGTCTTCTATTTGTATTGTCAGGTATTCGAAAATTTTATGATCTCAAGTAAACAGTATTTTATAATTGCAAAAATACTGATAGTTTCACTTAGTTTTTCTACTCTATGATATGGTTTCATTTGAAAAACTTTTGTTTAATGGTGAAAGCTTGTAATAAATCATCTAATTTACCTGTTTTCTAAATGTATAGCATAGTAGGAAAATAGTTATGTCATAATTTCTACAAGAGCATATGTGTCAGCAATTAAAATTTTAAGTAATTGTAACAATACATGAAGCATTCATAGAGAAATATGAAATATAATTTATCTATTAATGAAACGATATAAGAAAAATAATGCCAATTTCACAGCAGTAAAGATCACACATAAATAATGAGAATGTGTAGATAATTTCAAAATTGATATTTGTTTTACAAGTTTTGAGTTTTCATTACATTGATTTAAAGAAAAAAATATATAATCTTTCCATTAGTATGTTTCTATATTAGAATAACGATTTACTGTGAACACACAGGATAAAATGGATAAGTTCATAAAATTTTCTTTTCTTACAATGGAATTATCACATATATTTTTCTCCATATTAGGGCCCAATAATGTCTTCACAGATCGTTTACTGAAGAAATGATATTATCATCTCGAGAATTTAATTAAACAGTTAATCAAACCAAAATTAAAGTTGTGAGTTTTTAATATGGTTTTTTTAATATAAACTTCAATAATTAATTGTTAATATGGATATTCTATTTAATAATATAACACATGTTTAATTATTCATGTTTATAAGTATTATAGCAATAATTATTTTTTTTTTTTATTAGTCCACGTATGAAGAGCAAAACTTTACTATTAAGGTATAAATGAATTTAATATTTATATAAAATATTAATAATTGGAAAATTTCAGTACTCAATTAATACCAAAAGCAGAACAATAATTTGTTCGTTAAATAAGTAGTTTGTGGTATTGTATCAAAACATAATTTCTTTACTCATTGTGTTATTATTGATAACCTGTTTTTATAAAGAAAAAAGTTAATAAACTTTTTTCAGGTTTAGTGCCATATAATTATATTTTATAGTCAAAGAATAAACTATAAATTGAAGGTTTGCTCTATTATGTAAGTTACTTATTTTCAGTACAAAAATTTGTTTTAAGAAATAATTGGAAAAAGTTAGATTCTTCAGTTGATAATTTATCAACCATTTATTGTATTTAAGCTCTAAGTGAGCCAAAAAATAACTATTTTTACAGACTGCCCATTAATAGTTCACCCGGTATCCAAAACACAAGTTACTGCTGTAATATAATTCAGAAAACTAGATATCATTCTGCCATGATCTGTAAGATTGTATGTTATGGTAAATACGTATATCCATTCCCTTTTATAAATGATTTAATAACAATTCTTGAAAATAGTTTTTCTATATAGGGAGTAGGGGGGGGGGATTAAAAAAAACAATCTGTTTACACTTTAGCTCAATAAAACTATGCGGTTGGCTGAGAATTTGCTACTCCCCATGTTTCCATGGAATTTGGATGATCAATGTACACCGATCACAAAAGTACATTTCAGATTCATAATTGGTAATTTCATATTTTTATTGTATTATAAAAATGGGAAGGTTAGGGATTTTTTTGAGCTTCAGGAAATCCAATACACTGAATTCATTTCCCACTTTTCAAAGCCAAACACAAATGAGAAGTGGCAAGGAGTTTTTAATATGTTATGTAATCTAAATTAAGGTATGAATTTTTTCAATATATTTTTGTATAAAGAAGGCAGATGTTTGTTTTATGCTCCAGGAAGTCTAAATAATTAATCTTCAGATCAGAAAAGTTTAATATTCAATCTTATAGAGATTATGTGAATATGTAAATACAAATTTGCAGTATATACATAATTTATAAAGTTACTTGTATAACTTTTTTAAATTTGTTTAAAGTTAATCAGTGTAAATTGCTATTTTTTACTCTGTATAATTGACGTAAATAGTTTTCAAAAAAAACTACATAAGGAAACATTAGTCCTGTACAATCCGCGATATATCAAGTAGAATGTGAGTATGAAGAAGTTATCATTTTGTGGGAAACAAAAGTGTTTAATTTAAAAGGTTCAGAAAGAAAACACTGGATGGCTAGAAATCTGAATCAAAGTTTGAAAAATATTAATGCCTTGGCCATAAGAGTATAACAATGAGAAACTTGACAATTTTTTTTATAATTGCATGCAAGGTAACCAAGTTTTGTTAAATAAAATATATTATTTAATGAGTTTGGAATGCTGATGAAAATATGATGGAAGAAGTAATTTATTAGATTCTATAAATTTGGAATATTGCTTTGTACTGAAAGGTAATATTTTTATTATATAAAAATATAGAATTTTTAAATTCAAGTTCATGATATAATTTTGAATGTTAACATTGTAATTAACAATTTGACTAAGTTTTTAGATAGTGTGCAATACTTAAGTATTATTTATGAATGCCTTATTTTGTCTTATATAAAAATGAAATTTAGAATTAAGATTTTTATATTTATTTTTCAATTTATTAGATTCATAAATGAAACAGTGGTCAGTTTTATTTTTATATAAGAAATATAGTCGAAGCCTAACCATTATTAAAACATACAAGTAAGTCATTTTTCAACAGTTCATCTTCATTTTAAAAGAATATTTTCAGTGTTATGCAAGATATGGGCAAAAAAAGAAATAAATCAAGTATATGGTCAACAAAACTAATATTCATAAAGAAGATAAATAATATATGAATGAATATTACAAATTTATTAGTTTATTTAGCAAAATACATTGTACTTATACAATATTGTATTGCATATAAGTTTAGATATCAAGTTCAATTAAAATTATACTTAATTAATACAAGAAAAAAAATTTGAGTACAAGTTGATAAGTATAAATTACCAAAATAACATCAATGAAAATTGCTTACAATATTTTTTGCTCTTCAGCTATACAAAATGATATACAAAATTAGTGGTTTACATTTTAATTAGTCATTGCAGTAAGTGATTGTTATTGGCATAATAATAAGTTTGATACATTTGTTTTTTATAACAGTTGTGGCTTATGCAATTAAATTTTTATGTTGTGCAAGAATATCTAATAAGTATGATTTTTATTAAGTTGTAATTCAGTTCAGTTATGCAATTATGAAGTGGTGAGTGTATAGTTAGTTTGGTGAAGAACTTGCATAAATACTTGTTATTTCATTTTCTAAGATATAAATTTTTTTTCCAATATATTTCTTAGGGGGGAAAATTGGGTACAACTAATTTACTTCTAAAAATTATAGGTATTTGTAATGAAATTGGTAAAGGATCCAGTTTATGTTAAATATCAATAGCTAATGTCTTAGTTTAATTTAAAAAATAGAAAGATTGACTTGGATAAACAACAATTCAACAAATGTTTTAATGCAGCTTCAAAATCTATTAGTCCACATGAACATTGGCCTTGAAAATGTAAAGTATTTAGAATCATTATATAGCTGTAAATGGATGGTTATTGGATGTATGGAATCTGGATAGGATAGAAAAATAATACCAATTTACTACTTCTTTTATACATGTCATTAGTTAAAACTCTTCACAAATGCATGCAGCAAAACAAAGAGGAACAAAATACTATAATTTGACATCTTTCATGATCTTAGAACGTGAGTGTAGTTTTTTTTTAACAATATTTCTATCCCTATTATTAAATTGTTATAGAACACAAAAACAAAAGCTTAGGAAGCTTATCAACCTGTCAACCACTGCATTGTTGGGCACCATTACTTAGGGGAATGTTTTGGTAGAATGACATCTAAGACAGACTTTTTTTTGGCAGAATTTTAATTGGTTTAATAGGATTTACTAAATCATTTGCCCACTTTGAGACATTGGTTTGGATATCAAATTATTCAGGAAATTTTCATTCGCACATATTTGTTTGCCCCTTGCATTTCCTTTAGAAGATATCTTGGGTATTAACTCTAGAGTGTTTATACTGAAGTCCACTTTCATTGTCAGATCTTCAGGGTCCTTTGGAAAATAAGAGAGGGCTTATGGAGTTTGGTATTTGAATATCTTTTGAAGATAAATCACTTTCTGAGTTATAGTCTAGCAATTGAGTGTTGTCATTACTATTTTACATTCTTCCCTTAAGATGTTCATCCATTTTTGTCAGAACAAAAGACGGATTTTATTGTTTCGAAGTCCATTACAGAGCAATTGTGGGTATAAAAGCAGAATTCCAGCAAAAAAGCATTTTTTTTTAACCATATGTAAGTTTCTAAGGGTTTCCAGGTTATTATTTAATTGAAAACGATTTTTATGTATAAGTTATAATTCTTATCATTTTTGTAGATTTTTATTTAAATGAAATATCTTATTTTCATAAAATAAATAATACAAATGTTCAAAATAAGAATTGTATGAAAAGAAAACAATCGACAAAAACATTGAAATAAAGATTAAAATTGCAATTAGAATAAAAAAAGGAAAAAAATCATTAAAAGAAAGAAATAGATGTATATTACAAAAAACAAAAAAATAAACAACACCAAGCAGATCATGGGGATTACAAGGATACGGAAGCGGATTTATCCAATTTAGTGATAGGACATGGAGCTATAGTCTACTAGGCATAGGGAAATGACAACACAGAACAGCAAAAAAAACAAAATATTTTCATTCTGCATTTTTATAGCCAAATTTGATGTCAAATTTAAAAAGTAGGTAACCAGCTATAAAACCTAACAATCATGATAAGAAATTTTAATATTTAATTTTTTCCATTTGCAGGATAGTGAAATACAAGAAACCACTTGCATTGCAAGGTCTATAAATGCAATGTGATTTATTAGAATAATTTTTTAATAAACCTACAAGTATTGCAAAACAACATGGAAGTGTAAGAGACCAAGTGTAGACCAAGATCTATATGGACAAAGACGGTAACATGAGACTTCATGAATATGAAGAAATTGACAGTAGCATAGAACTTCAAAAATTTAAGTAGAAACAGCAGTCTGGAATGAACAGAAATTTGTAAACCAAGATGATGCACTAACAATTTAGAAAACTTCTAAGTTAATTAGGTGGTGTGATCTAAATATTTTTTTTTCGATATACATATAATCATTGTTATCTATTTTTTTAAAGATAAAATTTGAATCAAAATTTAAAACTTCATACAAATTTTTATATTGCCATAAAATTAGTTTAAATACCTTCAAATATAAATTCAAATTTTATCATCAGTAAAGCATTAAAAAATTGTTACTACTGTTAATATTTTTTCAAGTAAAATAAAATAAAAATCTAATATAATATTTTCCATGAATTAATTTTCTATTTTCCCAATCCATTTAACATGAATTAATCTTATATTTCTTGTCAATCTCAAGTTTTCCAATGATAATTTCAACATCCTAGTTTGAGTTATTATCAAACTAACTCAATTTTTGCTTTATAAAATGAAAATATAAAATTTTTTAAACTAAAGTTAATCATTCCTAAATATGTATAATATATAACAACTTTAAATAGAAACCAATGCTCCTGTAAAGATATTAAGCATCTTAACCACTTAGAATTACAATTTCTGAATTTTTCTCCATAAACTGATTTTATACAACATAGACATTTGCAAAAAAGCAGACATGCGAGCTTGGGTATTCAAATTATATTCGATACTACGAATTAAATCATTAGTTTTTAGAACTAATAACACGTATCTCTTTTTAGTCCTTTAGTAATTTTGGTTAATAAATCAAGAATTTCTTTGTGAAATAACTCTTTCTCTACCTTGGTATATTTTGTTTTTTGTATACCACTCATGAAAGTATCCCAGATTCTACCAGCAACTATACATGTTAATAAATCACAATATAATTTATTAATTATTAATAGATATTTCAACATAAAGTTATATCTACCTATTAAAAAAAATATTTGAAAAAATCAATTAAAAATTTATAGTTAACTAATTTATTTATATGAATATACAAAGTTATTGTGAAGTTTAATTTTGTTTATAAAACTTTAACCAGTACGAAGCATCTTTGCTTCTTTTTCTTCTCTTATTACTTTTAATTGTTCTTCTACTATTACTTTTCTTTCGGCTAAAAATTCTTTATATTCTTCAGGATCTAAGTCCCGTACTATTTCAATTCCTATGGTTTTGGCAGTACCAACTAACATATTTGTAATTTGCTGGAGACTCATTAAAGCTAGAGGAGGATCTTCAGACTTTATTTTTGCTATTTCATATAAATGTTTTAGAGTTATTTTACCAGCTATTTCATTGGCTGCAATACATAAAAATAAATATTTAATTTATATTCTGAATTTTTTTTTAATTAGTTGAATTTCTTTATAAATATTGTAAGATGTTATTACATCACCAAAGTATATGGTTTAAAATGGAAAACAAGTATCTTAAAATTTTGTTAAGCCATTTTCTATATGCTTAGATTTATGTCACAATACAATAAATTTGTATAGATATAATCATATAATGAATTTTACCTTTATGATTTACTGATTTTATTTTTGATACAAAAATGTCAATGTATAAAGGAGATAATTTGCTCAAAATAAATCTATAAAAAAATTACTTTTCATATCTATACCATAAATCAAATTATAACATAGTCCATATAAAATGTTCATAACTATATGTGGCTCTTTTAGATATTTCAAATAACAGTGGTAATATCACATACCATGCATTCGTCCTCTCTGTATTCCAGCAGCTTGTTTTAAGTAGTAAACAGCAGGAGGTAGGTGAGTTGTTAATGTGTAAGATCTATCAAGATTTGGTTTGATTCTACATGGAATAGGAATTCCTTCTTTGATATGAGCTGTTTTTTCATTAAATTCTTTAACAAATGTTGCTATATTAATATTTCTCTGTAAAAAACAAACTTATTTAAAATATTTATTTTGACAAATAAAGATAATTATATAAATATTACAAAGTACACATGTTAATGAGAAAAAAGTAAAAAGACCAAATTAAGGTGTATGTTAAATTGTTATAAATCCCAGTAACCTTATTCGTTAAATACTCTACACTAGGAATTAGTAATTCTAGTAGATTCTATAATTATCCAAACATGTTTGTAATTATAATTTAATGTTATTCTCAACCTGGCCAAGTTGGGGACCTAGAGGCGGTCCTGGCATTGCCATTCCTGCTGGTATATTAGTTTTTAACTTTGATGAATGATCTATTTTTCCAGTTATCTTTTTAGCAAATTTAATTCTTGACGCGGCTTTTGACATATTTGAGTTTTTTTAAATAGAAATTTAAACTTTCAGTTTTATATTTACAAATTTCAACATGTAAACTATGTTAACCTATAGTATTAGTATTACAGTAAATTCACAATTGAGAACCTTATTTATATGCCATTCTATTGAAAATTATTGGGATTGATGGGACAGACTCTCGATCTTGTACGTTCGTCGTTATACCTGCGCTATAAAGCGGGATTTTTTATTTTTAGTATAATATATTATTTGCTATTATTTGAAGTTGATTGGAGGAATGCTTCAAAGTTTATTGATCGTATTTATTAATCTTTATGACTGAAAAATTTAATGGTTTTCACGAGCTCGACTCTGTTCGAACTGCTGTATCTAAGTAGCCGGAGTACGGGACAGATTTTTTGCAGTTTTATCTTCGATTTTGATCAAAATTATTTACATAATTGCTTAATTAAATAACTGCAGCTTATGAGCACAAATGCGCCAAGTAGCAGAAATCCAAATCGACAAGCACTCAAGCAACGTTGCCGCTGGAAAATTTTTTTTTAAGGGACCCTAGAAATTATTACATTTAAAATAAATGTAATAATTTCTAGGGACTCTGAGAAAAAATTTTTAAGTGGCAACACGTTTTTGAATGTTGGTAGCAATATATTCAATTCGGTTAGGGATAAATTTGAAATTAAACAAACGGTTGAGCCAAAATCATAAAGTAATCTTTTTTCAAATGTTTTTAGTATGAAAATTTAAGTAAAATAAAAATCTTTTAAATTGAGAGTGTATAAAATTATGAAGTATAAGTTATCTAATTAATTCAATTGTTTTCCTAATTAAATATATATTTTAGTCGTTCCGGTAAATCTGTAACCTATAAATATTTTAAAAGTTTATCGTTTTAGACCGGTTACCTTTGTTACTATTGTTTTAAAGATTACTATTAATCTACATATTATTTTAGAAAATATTGTTCTAAATATTATTCTATTCTATGCATGTAATAGTAAAATTAACATTTTAGAATCAATTTAGATATGTTTATCTGAAACCATGGCATTTCAATCACTAGAAGATCTTTTAATACAGCAAACACAAAAATTACAAGATCTGGGAAATGCCACAACACTGATTCAAAGTAAGTTATTACTACCATAATCTATAGATATAAAATATATTTACTACAATACTTTTGATATACAAATATGTTTTAAATACTAATAAGTCTGAAAAACTAATAAGTTTAAATCTAATTATATATATAATATATGTTATATATAAATTCAAAACTATCAGCTAACTTCTTAAAAATTCATTATTAATTTTTAAATAATTGAAGGTAAAAGTTTCATTCAAGATGAATTGGTCACAGCTTTTCAAGATGTAAATAATATCTCTTCAGGAATTAAAGATTTAAAGAAAAGCATTCAAACAATGAAAACCAACAATGAACGCTGTAAGGTAAATATATCAATATTCATAAATAATACTTTTTAAATATAACTTAATTGTACTTAGAAATTACTTGTTTGAAGGAATTATTAACCATCTTATTAGCTTTGGATCAACAAATTAAACATATGGAAAATAATATACCATTAACAATACAGGAATATGTTAACTCAGAAATGCCAATTCATACTGATGAATCAAAACTGGCCTCTGATTACCTAAATAATACATTAATTAATAATACGATTAATAATGGCAATACTACTAGTTCCAACCATATGACTGAAGGCATGAAAAATTGTAAGAAAATATTATTCAATGAACCAGATATTCCATCTATACTCCCAGTTATCGAGGATGAATTCAGCAAGATACCTAAATATATTATTGGACGCTATACACTAGAAGCTCTGAATAATTTGATATCAAGTATCAATCAAATTATCAAAAGTAAATATTCAATTATTAATTTAGGCAAAAATGGTGCCAGAAAAAAAGGAGAATTAGACGTATACTTACATTATAAAAAGGAACAAATGAGTCTAGGAACAGGAGAAGGTAATTTCTTAAGTTGTGATATTTTAGCTGGCTCATTCAATACAAACTGAACTATATTTTTTGTTTTAGAAAATACTTATTTCTTTACATCAGAAGATTATGAAAAATATGTAAAAACGAAACTTGATAAAACAAAATTAAATTTAATTATAGCACTTAGACACTGCAAAAGATTGAGAGAAATTAGAACAGCTAAGACTGTAAACTATGCACTAATAATACCTAATGTTTAATAGTTTTATTTAAAAAAACATGTATCCAAATCAGTTGATAGTATTACATGCTTGAATTATGTGTATGAAATTGTATGTTTCAAACTAGATTTATGTAATTCTGAACTAATATATCAATATAGAATTTATAAGTAGATAATCAAAGTCCACATAGTGATGTTCTTGTAGAAATGGTTTCATAGTTTCGACATTGCAACAAGTATACATTTTTTTATATTTTTTTCAACTAGTTTTATCTAACGCACTCATTTCTTGTTTATATATTTAATATACAGTTTGATGCTTGAATCAAATCAAAACTGTTATAAGGAAAATTACAAATTACCAAATACACTTCCTATTTAAAATAATTCAACAATTTGAAATGCTCATGCAGTCATCAAGAATTTTTCCTTCATAGAGAAGTCACAGAATCTTGGTAAAAAACCGATCTTTACTAGTTTCTTTTACAGTTAATGTTGCACTTACAGGGAGTTGATTTATTTGATTAATAATGAAGCAGTCAAATTCGTCGATTTTAGTTTTTCTTATGCTAGGAAACTAAATCTTATCTATGTGATTTAAAGATAGTTGTTAATAGAGCTCTTGAACAATAGTCTCCTTCGACATTAGCTTTGGTAAGTTCAAATTGTAGATCGAAATAAAGATGCATTAAGTATATAGAATTTATTCAACTTAAATGTTACAATTTTGGTTTTTTACAAAGTATATTTCATTTTTTATTGTGTGACGTGCCTTGTTTCTTTTTGCTTGTGTTTTGTGTGATTATGTTGTATATGTGTGTGACTGTGTTTTTGTTTGTGTTAATGTATTTTGTATTTCCTTCTCATCTTCTTTTCCATTAGCCTTCCCTTTTTCGTCTTCTTCTCACTCTTTCATTCCATCTTCTATCCCATCCTCTCTCTTTCTCTCTCCCTCCTATACTTACCTCCCCTCTTTCTGTATGTCATCCCATTTATAATCATCCTTCTGTTTTCTACCACGATGTCCATTACTACTCCTGCTTCCTGGCAAGCACTGAGGACCTTCTTTGCTGCCCTTACCATTTCGTCCCTCTCTTTTCTTTCTTCAAAGGACAGCCACTCGTCTAAGCTCATTTTTCCTTCTCTTCTATATATTTCTCTTTCCAAGTCCCATATCTTGTCTCTGTCTTCTCTGCTATTAAACTCTACTTTCAGCCTTTCTCCCAATTCCTTTACGTGATTCACTTTCACTTTATAAACATTTTCAAACCATTCTTCTATTTTTACACCTTCTTCCCATTAGGTCCTTTTTTCACTACCAGTATTCTTTTTTTCCACTCGTCCCATTCTTCTCCTGGTGATTCGTCACTCTCACATTCCATTTTCCTTTTTTTTCTTTTGTTTTTCTCTTTTTTTCTCTCTACTTCCTCTTCTGCTCCTTTATCATCTCTTTCTTTTCTGCTTTCTTTTAGGTTTTCCTCAATTGTTCTTAGTCTTATTTCCTGGTTCCTAGCCTCTCTTTCCAACTCTTTTACCTTATTTTCCACGTCCCTTCTTTTTTTTCTTTCTATTTCCATCCATTCTTCCAGGCCTTCTTTTTCTACTCTTCTGTCTCTTTCTATCTTCGTTATTTTCCTTTCAATTTCATCCATTCTATACTCTATCCCTTCCTGTCTCTGTTTTATTTCTGGTCCTCCTATACTCTTTAGGCTTATTATTTCCCCCTTAATTTCCATTCTGTCCTTTAACCATTCCTCTGCATCTCCTTTTTTCCCATTTCAGTTCTCTCTCCAGATCCGTTACAATTATATTATTTACCCTACTTTCTCTATCCATTCTCTCCTTCATGTGATCCATTTCATCCCTATTATCTACTCCTTTTTCTTCTGCCCTTGTCTCTCTTCCTTCCATGCGTTTTTTCATCTTATTCACCTCTTCTTCCAATCCATTCATTCTTTCTTCCCACTTCTCTTGTCTTCTTTTTTCTTCTCTTTTCTCTTTTTTCCTTTCCTCTCTATCTTTCTCTAATTCTTCTCTAAGTTTTTCTAACCCTCTCTCCCATTTTGCCTCCCTTTTTTTCTCCGCCTCTTCCATTCGCCTCATCATTTCATTTAGCAGTTCCTCTTTTTCTTTCTTCCCCTCTCTTCTCAGTTCTCTCATTTCTGCTAGTACTCTTTCAATTGCATTATCTTCTCCTTTACTCTCACCCACCCCTATCAATGTTCTGTCCATTTCATTTCCTTCATCCCCATCTGTTTCACTCCCCTCGTTTTCACTTTTGTACCTTTTCATCTGCCTCACTTCTTCCTTGTTTCCTCCTCTCAGGCCCTCTTCGCTCTCTCTACCTCTCACCCCCTTTGCCTTCCTCTTATCCCCTTTACCATCCCTCTCTTTCGCTGTTCCTGGCGTTGTAAACATCTCGTTCCTGTTTCCTATTCCAATTCCCCACCTTGCTCCCGCCTTAACTCTCTCTCTTATTCCCTTTGTCTTCGCCTTTATACCCCTCTCCTACGCTCCTCTTTTCCCGCCTTCTGTCTTATCTAACCTAACCTATCCTTTCTCCCTTTATTTTTTCTCACTTTACTTCCTTCGCCCTTTGTTTCCCTCTCTTTTTCTCTTCTCCAAACCCCTTTCCACTCCTCCTGTACCTTTTCTCCACTTTTCTCTTCACTTCCCGCTCTCCTTTTCTCTAAAATTGACTTATACTCAGCACTCACACAAGACACGTCCACACTCATCCAAGTCTCAATATAACCTCAAGATGCATTAAGTAATCAACATAATTAGCCATTCGACTATTACGCAGAATAAGTAGAGATTTTTCAAAATGCAAAATTCAATTCTTCGTACGATTTATTAGCTTCGCAACTCAATTTAAAATCTTTAACAAAAAGCATATCTCGGAACAAACAAACACTTGTTGTCAATGTAGTAGGTAGCTAATTTGCCAATAAATAATCCGTACTCTTCAGATGTTAGCTGCATTACGAATAGCTTTGATACGCTTGTCCGACTTTATGCCTTAAAAAATCTATCGACAACGACAACAGTACAGCGAAATAAAATACATTTTGATCGATTTTAGCATTAGTTTTCAATCTGGTGAAATCCACGCGCTTACTTACAAAAGCTTGACTATGTGCCTTGCCATTTTAAGCGTACCAATAATTTTACGCTTCTATTTCTATCTCTGGTTTTTCTTAGATAATCTCGTCATAAATATTGCAATCGATAAAACCATGGAGGGGTTGTTCGATAAACATTCTGTCGATAAATGTACCGTAGTGGCAAAATACAACTACTCATTACAGTCGCAATCAAAAATTCACGATGAAGTCATCGTTATTTTTAAAATAGTACGAAATTTAATGCTCAATGTCAGGGGTCACCAACAATTTCAACGCATTATTTAATTCATAGTTAACATACTTGTACGTGATCCGGTATTTTGCTGAATTCCAACACCCAATAGAACTTTTCAACAACAGCTTTCACAATTGTATTGTCCGACGTTCGGAATCCTTCAAATTTGAAAGATATGCTACAGTTTCATTAATTAAATTGATTTGCAACATTAGGAATCGAGGCTTTTAAAGTCTGAGCAACTATACAAGGACTAACAAATTTAGCGTTTGCTAAAAAACTTAGAAAATTGTAGTAACTTTTTCACGTAAACTTATCAAGAAACCACTTGTGACAGCAAACTATTATACTATTATATATGTGGATTATTTATTGAAAGTAAGAAATAAACATTGCCTATGAAAAATAAGCTTTTATTGACATGTTGATAAAAACGTTGTCAATAAAAAACTAAAAGTCGAAAACACTCGAATACTAAAAGATTACAAAATTGAATACGCGAGAAATCTGCCTCGTTATCGTCACTTATAGATAAATATATGATTGTTCAATTTTCAGTTCAGTTGAAAAAACCACTGTCTCTATTACAAGCTCTAAGATACAAAAATAGGACTTGACGCTTTTTCATTGTATGGTTTAAATATAAAATTGTAAAATATTCGCACTGAAAAATTAAGAAACAAGTATGCAATATAAATAAAAAGCTACTACAACAGATTAAGATCAGATTTCTTAAAATTATAATCGCAATGTTAATGTTAAGAAAAAGGAGCTAAAAGAAATTGTAAAAACGACTGTCTCGTCTGTTAACTTAAAACTCGTAACTCAATATATGACCTCAAAAATAAAATTTAATGCTTTTGATTTGCCACGTGGTATAAATATCGCATTCTATATTAATCGCATTTACGAACCCTACTGAAAAAAATCACATGATTTGTTACGTGATTTATCACATGTCATTTTTGCATGATAAATCATGTTATTTGTTACATGATATCACATGATTATTAGCGGAGTTCAGGAAAACAGAAATGGTATGTGATATCACGTGATTTAATGATATCATATAATTAATCTCTTGGTCCCGGTAGATGGAACACAGGTATCTCCTTATCCCGGGCTTGCTTGAGCCACTTTTTTATGCAACTTTCCATATTTTCATTTTCTGCCCCCCCCCCCTGCATTTTTTTCTACTTTGACTCGACAGAGAAAATTCCGCAATAATATTCTTCTTACTCTTTAAAAAAGTAGAAAAAGTGTTCGGGGGAATCTGTAACTCCCTAGCGATTTGTGAGAGATTCCCTCGAGAGTGAGAGTTTTGTAGGTTTTACATGAACCAGACATAGAAACTTGAAGAATGATATCAAACCGAAAATATATATGTATGTAAAACCTTTACAAAGATGAGAAGTACATACATACACTGAAAATAAGTCGAGACATAAATTAGTACATTACGATACAATTACGGGAAAGTATATTCTTGTGTTGACGTCCGAGCGAAGCGAGGGTGGAAAGATACACGAGACGAGAAACTTTTTTCCTGAACATGAGCCGTACTTTTTTATACGACGTGTGGAAAGTGAGATATTCAACGCACGTTTTCTGCCGAGCATTTAGGAAAGACGCACTTTGCGCACAGAGTATCGAAAATATGATTATAAAGATGTCTTGTAACTATCAGTGGAGGAGATATAAGGGCTTTTTTCCAAGGCACGTCCGATACTTTATGATATGTACATATGCATGTATGTAGTCTCGCCTAAATGTACTTTGTTTTATGAGCAATGGCAGCGATAATCTGTTTCTGGGGAAATCCCAGTTGAGATAAACAGTAAGGTTTTTAGGGAAAATTTGTGAGGAATTTTTCGATTATTCGGAATGAAAAAGTTCGAATTATCGAGGTTTTTTTTTACATGTATTAGTATAGGAATTTCAAGGGACCGGCGCATAAGTTCAAATTATCGAGGTTCGACTGCATTTATTTTCATTAACAATTTTTGATGACAATATACATGACCAGTTATATGACATGAAAATTTTTATATATAACATGCTGTTTTAATTATGTCTTTTATTACAATAAACAAATATTTATTATTCTTATACTTTTAGAAATAAATTATTTGAAAATAATCATCATTAAATTATAATATTCATAGAGTACGTGGTTACATAAATATTTCATTGTTGATTAGGAAATGACTAAAAGTATAGAAAAACATTTAAATTTACTAGCGTAAAATAACAATAATCTCTCATAATGAGAAAATATTAAAATTTGAACATGATACTTTGAGTTTGAAGGTTTAGAAAGAATAC